CTCTGGCTGGCCCCAGAGTGGGGTGGGAATGGAGATTTTGCAATATCTTTCCCCTGAGTGGGGTGGCAATGGAGATTTTGCAGTATCTTTCCCCTGGAGTGGGGTGGGAATGGAGATTTTGCAGTATCTTTCCCCTGGAGTGGGATGGGAATGGGGATTTTGCAGTATCATTCCCCAGGAGTGGGGAGGGAATGGGGATTTTGCAGTATCATTCCCCAGGAGTGGGGAGGGAATGGGGATTTTGCAGTATCTTTCCCCTGGAGTGGGGTGGGAATGGAGATTTTGCAGTATCTTTCCCCTGGAGTGGGGTGGGAATGGGGATTTTGCAGTATCATTCCCCAGGAGTGGGGAGGGAATGGAGATTTTGCAGTATCCTTCCCCTGCCATGCCCACCAAGCCACGCCCACCAAGCCACACCCACAGAACCGATAGTAAATTTGGATTTCATCACTGCACACGCTGCCCCAAACCATCACCAGCTCCAGACTAGGCGAGTCGACAATTTGAATTGGCCCTGAGAAAAAGAGTTATTTTGACCTGAATTTTCTTTATTCCGCCTTCATTTCAATTCTGTCCCTTTTATTTGTGATGAAAGCTGATTTGCTAGAGGAGCGACAGATGTTGGATCTCATGTCTGGGAGCAATATTTTATTCCATATATCCGGGGTTAGCAAGAAGCTTTCATGAGTTAATGGACCAAAGCGGCTTGTTCCTTTGTTTTCCCCAAAGTAAAATCTCTTATTGCATTCTTACAGCCTGAAGATTTATAGAGAGGATATTGTTTAATTAAGCACACATACCAGGAGGTGTAAGATGGTACAGTGAAAAGGAACTGAATTATCAGACTTACAACATCCTTCTGGGTCTGATTCCCACCTTGCCAACGAGTGCTAAATTATGAGAAAAGGTGAATAGTTAGGAACAAGCCCATTTTAACGCTTTATTCCTTGCACTTCAGACTTGATGAATACCTCCCGCCAAGTTTATTCCGTCTCAATTTTATACAAACTCACCTAGAATCAGCTTTCCAGAATTCTATTTTCTCCCCCCCCCCCCCCCCCCCCCCATAATTTCTAGCAAAGCTTTATTCAAGTAGAATTTCACGTTAGGGATTTTATATTTTTTATTGTTTTATATCCTACATTTCCTTTCTATGTTGAGCAGTGTGCTCTCTAGGTGTCCAAGATGTTAACATGCGAACGTACAAACGTCATCATCGTTGTCATTATAGTCATATACACCTTAACAAATATGGAGAACGTATAAACAGATATGCGATAATATCTATCGTATTATAACATATATTGTCTTCCATTATGGTGTCGATTATATAACCATCAAGTAAAAAATAAAAATTACACGTCTGTTTTCCTCTCTCATATACACTATATTTCACCCAGTTTTACAATGACATCTCTTTCTGTCTTTCTTCTCTCCTCCTTCCCGCCCTTCCCTTCTCCTTTCCACTTCTCTCTCCTTTCTCTTTCCTTCTCCTCCCTCCCTCTCTCTTTCTCCTCTCCCTATTTCCTCGCCTCCCTTTTCCTCTGCTTCCCTCTCCTTCCCTTTCTCCTCTTCTCCCATCCACTTCCCTTTTTCCTTTCCCCTTTCTCCTTCCCTCTTTTCCTTCTCCTCTCCTCCCCTCTCTCTTTCTTCTCTCCCCTCTCTACTTCCCTCTCCTCCCTTTTCCTCTTCTCCACTTCCCTCTCCTTCCCTTTCTCCTACTCCTCTCCTCCCATCCACTTCCCTCTCTCCTTTCCCCTCTCTCCTTCCCTCTCCTTCCTTCTCCTCTTCCCCCAACCTTTCTCCCCTCCTCTCCTCTCCTCCACTCCATTCCACTTCCTTCTCTCCCATTATCCAGATTTCTAACTGTCTATGGAGATTCTCAGTCATCCAGGTCATAGCTGTCCCAAAGATGCTTTCTCTCTCTCTCTCTCTCTCTCTCTCTCTCTCTCTCTCTCTCTCTCTCTCTCTCTCTCTCTCTCTCTCTCAAAAGGCCATTATTTTTCCTGAAGATGTTTCGCTTCTCATCCAGGAAGCTTCATCAGTTCTGAGTGAATGGTGGAGAATGGAAGGATTTATATTCCTTGCAGTCATCTGGTCGTTAGCGCTCTTTCTGAGAGTCGTTGAGGCCAATTGGACCAATAAACCTCCTCCACCATTCAGTCAGAACCAAAGAAGCTTCTTGGATGAGAAGCAAAACGTCTTCCAGGAAAAATAAAAAGTCCAGTTGCCTTTTGAAAAAAGCACCTTTGGGACACCAGAATTCTGTTATTATGGTTTATAGCACAGTCAGCCAGATGTTTAGATCGGATAGAACTGTCCGCCTATCAAGTCCTTCCCATGCACAGATGTTGTCATTTGATGGTATTAAAGGTGTTGTTGTAAGATGTAAGCTGTTCCAAGTCAGGCTGCCTTTTGCAATTGACTTACGGGGATTTTGTCAATGCCGACAATGTTCAAGTGGGTATAATTGCAAATTATACCCAAAGCACTTTTACTGTTGGTACTATCTTTGATAAGCTCATGGCATCCGACCCTCTCAATTCCTGGCAAATAGATAGTGAGGGGATAGTGATAGGGAGGTAGTGACAGATTTTATTTTCCTGGGCTCCAAGATCACCGCAGATGGGGACTGCAGCCACAAAATTAAAAGACGCTTGCTCCTGGGGAGGAAAGCTGTGGCAAATCTAGATAGCGCACTAAAAAGCAGGGACATCACCCTGACAACAAAAGTGCGTATAGCCAAGGCGATGGTTTTCCCAGTTGCAATGGATGGCTGTGAAAGTTGGACCATAAGAAAGGCTGAGCACCAAAGAATGGAGGCCTTTGAACTCTGGTGCTGGAGAAGTCCCTTGGACTGCAAGTCCCTTGGACTGCAAGGCGATCCAACCGGTCAGTCCTAGAGGAGATCAACCCCTGACTTCTCTTTAGAAGGCCAGATCCTGAAGAGGAAACTCAAATCCTTTGGCCACCTAATGAGAAGGAAGGACTCACTGGAGAAGAGCCTAATGCTGGGAATGATGGAGGGCAGAAGAAGAAGGGGACGGCAGAGAACGAGGTGGCTGGATGGAATCACTGAAGCAGTCGGTGTGAGCTTAAATGGTCTCCAGGGGATGGTGGAGGACAGGAAGGCCTGGAGGAACGTTGTTCATGGGGTTCCGATGGGTCGGACACAACTTCGCAAGTAACAACAACTATCTTTGAAAACAACACTTTCCAATCCCAGGTCCTTGGGAAGGACTCCAAATCCAGCTGCCAGCTCTTTAACCATTGTTGGCCTTCATTCATACCAAGTTCTTCCCAAGTACCATGTATCAGTCTATTTTAGCTCCAAGCAGTGATTAATCATCATCATCATCATCATCATCATCATCATCATCATCATTTCCCAAAGCAACCCTTTTATTTCGTCTTCTCCCTTTAGCCATTACAAATCCATACAAAGAATAGAACTCCCATCCAAAATAAAAAACACCCCTTTCCTTCTATGACAGGCCATTATCTCTTTTTTATGGTTGATTTTATGCTGCTGAACTTTTCTTTTCATTCAACTTCAGGGCAGCCTCCCGTCTTCTCACCGCCAGCCTTGAACTGGATTTATTATTTAGCATGTAAATATTGTCCCAGAATAGAAGCATACATTAGCATAGCCAATTTCAGAGAGAGAGATTCGTAATCGCTTCTTTAATCAGTGTTGGATTTTACAGGCCACTGAGTTTCCTTTTCTGTTAACATGACTGGGGACAAGCTGCCTGGTAGAAAGAGATAATGAATGGCTGGAAAGAAAGATGATAGAGAGATACAGAGAGATGATAACAGGGATGATAGATAGATAGATAGATAGATAGATAGATAGATAGATAGATAATAGATAGATGATAGATAGATAGATAGATAGATAGATAGATAGATAGATAGATAGATGATGGATGGATGATAGATGATAGATGATAGATGATAGATAGATATAGATAGACAGATAATAGATAGATATCATTGTTGATAGATAAAAATCATTGAAAGAAACAAAGGTTAACCAGAGTAAATACATTAGATAGATAGATAACAGATAGATAACAGATAGATGATAGAAAGAAAGAAAGAAAGAAAGAAAGAAAGAAAGAAAGAAAGAAGAAAGAAAGAAAGATAGATAGATGATGGACGGATGATGGATGGATGGATGATAGATAGATGATATAGATAGATGATAGATAGATAGACAGACAGACAGACAGACAGATAGATAGATAGATAGATAGATGATAGATAGAGATAGACAGATAATAGATAGATATCATTGTTGATAGATAAAAATCATTGAAAGAAACAAAAGTTAGCCAGAGTAAATACAATAGATAGATAGATAGATAGATAGATAGATAGATAGATAGATAGATAGATGATAGGATAGATAGATAGATAGATAGATAGATAGATAGATAGATAGATATGGATGGATGGATGGATGATAGACAGACAGTTTATAGATGATGGATAGATAGGTAGATGAAAGATAATAGAATGATGATAATGATATAGATAGTTAGATACAATAGATGATAGATAAATGGAAGATAGATAGATAGATAGATAGATAGATAGATAGATAGATAGAAGAGAGGGAGGGAGGGAGGGAGGGAGGGAGGGAGGGAGATGGTTGCCAATGGGGCTCTGTGATAACATTGTCATCATAACAGTTCTTAAAAGTGTCATAAATGTTGCCAAAAACTTTGCAATCATGCACATTGTGTCATATATATATATTTCCAGTGAAATCATTGAGCCTCACCGAAGCCTTACTAGGTGGTCCCAGGGCCGAAAAGCTAAATGGGTATGGTCTGATCATGGCCATCATTTTGACTGAATGCCCACACCTGGCTCTCAAAATTCCAGATGGTGGCTCCAAAAATCTCCTCCAAAGATTGCAGATCCATGGCCATCACCCTCTCAGCGACATCCCCTGATTCCATCTTGACCTCCTCTTTTCATCCTCCTCCTAGGTCTCTGACCGATGTGACTATGTTTTTGTCAACGGCAAAGAGATGAAGGGAAAGGTGAATGCCGTGGTGAACTTCACGTACCAGTATCTCAGTGCCCCCCTGCGGCTGACGGTTTGGGTCCCACGCCTGCCTCTTCAGATTGACGTGTCTGACACGGAGCTGAACCAGATCAAAGGTTGGAGAGTCCCCGTTGTTTCCAACCAGAGGTGGGTTTTGCTGGTTGGCTCAAGGTTTGTGGCCTTGGTCTAAGTCCAACGGACTCCGTGTCCTTTTGTCTCGATTGCATTTTCTTTTTCAATCTACTTTTCTGATTCTTTAGCCTCTTTCAGTAGATAGAGGAGATGGGTTTGTAAAGGTGACCGGGAAAGGAATATATATATATATATATATATATATTCCCTAGGGTGCTCCACCTCAGTTCTTTCCAGTTCTAGAGGACATGGTGGAGTGGTTAGAGTTGGATTGGATTGAGGGAAAATCAGCATCAAGCTGCCATTCAATCATGAAGCTTTCTGAAAGATGTGTCCCTCCTCTCTCTCTCTCTCCCTCTCCCTCCCTCCCTCTCAGAGAGAGAGAGGGGGAGAGAGAAAGCTGTCATTTATCAATTTATCATCTATCTTATCTATCCTTATCTCTCTCTGTCATTCTCTCTCACACACACACATCTATCATCTGTCTGTCTATCTATCTATCTATCTATCTATCTATCTATCTATCTATCTATCCTATCTCTCTCTCTCTTTCTCTCTCTCACATACATATCTATCTATCATCTGTCTGCCTGCCTGCTTGCCTACCTACCTACCTACCTAATCATCTATCTATTTATCTACCTGGCTGCCTGCCTACCTAATCATCCATCCATCCATCCATCCCTCTATCTATCTCTCCATTTTCTCTCTCTCACACGCACACATCTATCATCTGTCTGTCTGTCTGTCTGTCTGCCTACCTACCTACCTACCTACTTAATCATCTATCTATCCATCTACCTACCTACCTACCTAATCATCCATCCATCCATCTATATCTATCTATCATCTATTTATCATCTACCTATTATCTATCTCTATCATCTATCTATTTATCATATATTATCTATCTATCTATATCTATCTATCTATCTATCTATCTATCTATCTATCTATCTATCTATCTATCTGACATCTCTCTCTCTCTCTCTCTCTCTCTCTCTCTCTCTGTCTCCTTAATGTAATTTATATAATTATTGGGGGGAGGACAACATATATGTAGTAATGTTTACCTATAAATGACTTTTTTTGTTTTAATCGCAATAATATGCGGGCTAACAACCACTTTAAACTCAATGTAAATCGTTCTAAACTTGACTGTAAAAAAATATGATTTCTGTAATAGAGTGGTCAATGTCTGGAATCCTCTACCTGATCCGGTGGTTTCAGCTACAAATTTTCACAGTTTCAGTCACAAATGGACTTCCGTGGACCTTACATCATACTTAAGTGGTCCGTAGAGGAGGGCGTGCATAAGTGCACTAACGTGCCTATTGTCCCTGTCATTGTATTTTTATTCTTTTATTCTTGCTCTCGTTTTTTGTTTGGCAAATTCTAATAAATAAACAAATAAACAAACAAACAAACACATAAATAAATAAATAAATAAATAAATAAATAAATAAATAAATAAATAAATGCTCTCTAATGGGGCTCCCCTTGAGGAGCCCCCGGAGGCTCCAATTGGTGCAGAATGCAGCCGTGCGGGGGATTATGGGAGCGAGGGAGCGCTCCCATGTGACACGTCTCCTGCGTGAGCTGCATTGGCTCCCGGTGGTCTTCCGGGTGCGCTTCAAGGTGTTAGTTACCACCTTTAAAGTGCTCCATGGCTTAGGGCCTGGGTACTTACGGGACCGCCTTCTGCCACCGATAGCCTCCCACCGGCCAGTACGCTCCCACAGAGAGGGACTCCTCAGGGTGCCGTCGGCCAGGCAATGTCGGCTGGTGACCCCCAGGGTGAGAGCCTTCTCTGTGGCAGCACCTGTCCTTTGGAACAACGTGCCCCCGGAGATACGTAGGATCCCAGATCTCCGTGCTTTTCGCCGGGCCCTTAAAACTTTTTTATTTCATCAAGCCGGGCTGGCTTAACCCTCCTCTTAGATATTTTTAATTGTTAATTGGTTTTAGTTGGGGTGTTTTAAATTTATTGGGCCAAATTTGTTTAATTCTTTTTTTAAAAAATTAAATTTTGTATGTGATGTTTTGGCTGTTCACCGCCCTGAGTCCAGTGGGAGAAGGGCGGTATAAAAATATAAATAAATAAATAAATAAATAAATAAATAAATAAATAAATAAATAAATAAATAAATAAATGTCAATTCGATTGAAGAAGTCAATAAACAAATATAATTGGTTCAGGTTAATTGCAAGTTCTTCCCTAGAGGAAGCCTTCTTTGGAGATTAGTCCATGAATCAACGATGGATTGTCTTCTCCAAACAGCAGACAGCTCCCTGTTGACTGTGGTGAACCTCCCGGCAACAGCATCTTCTTTGTAGAAGAAGCCATGGCAATTTTGAAGTATTGTGTGCATATTCAACTCACTAGCTGGACGCCCATGCTTCGCTATGAAACTATGTGATCCGGCGTGATAAACTGACACTTAAAGCATGAAAATTAATGTAGAATGTGTAACTCCGTAGTATCAGTGTGTGTTAATATAAAGCAACTGGCAGTTGGAACATGCACTGGCCACGCCCATACCCAGTTTAGCAAAGGGCATGTTAATATAAGGCAACTGGCAGTTGGGACAGAGTTCCTTTCAGGTGGGGAGGGGGAGTAGAACTCCTTAGCATCAGAGTGTGTTAATATAATACTGTATATGAAATACTAGTGATCTGATAGTATTCCGAAAAATCCTTTCTTAGCGAGCACCTAGAAGCCAAGCAGAACATATGTGCCAAATTTCAAGTTTGTAGGCTGTACAGTTCTGGAGATTTTGTGATGAGTGAGTGGTATTTGGCTTTTATATATATAGACTGAGCATGAAGGCAATGCTAATTTTTCAGATTGACGCGAGACAGCGATGATGAAGATGAAGATGAGCGGAAGGGAAGGGGCTGCACCCTCCAGTACCAGCATGCCATGGTGCGGGTCCTCACCCAGTTTGTGGCGGAAGATGCCAGCCCATCCGGGCAGCTGTCCTATTTGTTGGGCGCCGACTGGCAGATTGACATAACAGATTTGGTGACGGACTTCATGAAGCTCGAGAAACCTCACGTGGTCCAGTTACAAGGAGGCAAGGTTCTGGTTGGGCAGGAAGTTGGCATGACAATGGTCCAGGTCAGTCTATCACCTTGGTATGAGAACGTTCCTGCCTTGATATTCCATTCTATAAAGATATTTGAGAAAAAAGGGACAGGGTAACTTTGATATATTTTATTCATTCATTCATTCATTCATTCATTCATTCATTCATTTAGTCAAGCATGTATAAGATTACAGATAAAAGTATAAACATAATTTGAATACATGAAATGGATACGAATAAAAGGGAACATTAGGACAGGGATGGTAGGCACGTTGATGTGCTTATGTACACCCTTTACAGACCTCTTAGGAATGGGGTGAGGTCAACAGTAGACAGTCCAAGGTTAAAGTTTTTGGGGTTTGGGGAAGAAACCACAGAGTCAGGTAGTGCGTTCCAGGCATTGACCACTCTGTTGCTGAAGTCGTATTTTCTGCAATCGAGTTTGGAGCGGTTTACTTTAAGTTTGTATCTATTGTGTGCTCGTGTATTGTTGTGGTTGAAGCTGAAGTATTCATTGAGAGGTAGGACGTTGTAGCAGATAATTTTGTGTACTATGCTTAGGTCAGACCGAAGGCAGAGTAGTTCTAAGTTGTCTAAGCCCAAAATTTCAAGCCTGGTGGCATAAGATATTCCGTTGTGGGCGGAGGAGTGGAGGACTCTTCTTGTGAAATACCTCTGGACTCACTCAATTGTATTAATGTCCGATATGCAGTGCGGGTTTCAGACAGACAAGCTGTATTCGAGAATTGGTCTAGCAAAGGTTTTGTATGCTCCAGTTAGCAGTACAATATTACCGGAGAAGAAGTTACGCAAGATTAAGTTAACAATTCTTGGAGCCTTTTTGGCAATGTTGTTACAGTGAGCTCTGGCACTTAGATCTTTAGAAATCAGTACTCCAAGGTCCTTGACAGAGTGAGAGTCATCTATTATTCCTAAGTGTATATATACAGTATATATATATTCCTAAATGGATCTCGCTGTTGACTTCCAAAGGTCCTTTCTCCACTATCTGACTCCATCTTGGCCGAGAAGACCGTGACGGTGTTGGACGACAAGGTGACCATCACCGATATGGGAGTCCAACTAGTCGCTGGGTTGTCCCTTGTCCTTCAACCCAGCACGGCTAGTCCTCAAGCTTTCGTGGCTACCACCATCGCTCAAGACTTGCTCCACACTCACAAACAGGTAGAGAGCATTTTGGGTTTTTCTGAGTCGTTAAACACTGAGCCCGATATCTCCAGAATCTTCACTTCATCTTTAACTCACTAGTCCTTATGATAGATACGGTGGGAAAATGGAGGGATGGATCAATGAAACTGCTCCTCAAATGGGGAGAGTCATTAACGCCTCCTTATTTTATGGCCCCATCTAAAAGCTTCCTTCTTCACAAATGCCCCATGGAGGTCCAGGCAAGTTTTTCCCAAGACAGTGGTAAAAACCTTTTACGATAAATGGGTATACATTTGTACCAATTGTTCCACAGAAGAAGAAAAGACCACTCTCATAGTTTAAATGATGCTTATGTCAAGGGACACGTCCTCTTAGAAGAGATTTCCCCGCCCTCCCCACTTCTGGCTGTTTCCTACCTGGAAAGTATAATAATCCTTGAAGACCATTAAACTAAACGGCTCCCTTCTGCATTGCTTAAAAAGTATCAGATTTATCGATCGGGCCTATTGATTAAGCATTTCAGTCCTGTAAAAGGCACTCCCCCTCTCCTTCCCATTACAGCTGATTTATGTCAGGAAACAACAATTGCTAGAACAAGTAAAAGAAACAATGATAGTATGGGCAAAATTTTTTGGCTATATCATAGGTAAAGGTAAAGGTTCCCTTTGCTAGTCATTCCTGACTCTAGGGGGCGGTGCTCATCTCCGTTTCAAAGGCAAAGAGCCAGCGCTGTCCGAAGACGTCTCCGTGGTCATGTGGCCAGCATGACTCAATGCCAAAGGCACATGGAGCGCTGATACCTTCCCACCAAAGGTGGTCCCTATTTTTCTACTTGCATTTTTTTTATGTGCTTTCGAACTGCTAGGTTGGCAGAAGCTGGGACAAGTCACAGGAGCTCACTCCGTTACATGGCGCTAGGGATTCGAACAGCTGAACTGCCAACCTTTCGATTAACAAGCTCAGAGTCTTAGCCACTGAGCCACATCCCCATAGAATTAGATAAATGGCAAAAACTTTGGGATAGAAATTACAAACTGACCATGCAAATAAGGAAAATCTTCATAAAATGTTTGATAGGTGGCACTTGCCACCAGCAAGACTAGCCAAAATGTTTAAAAATATGTCCACCAAATGTTGGAAATGCAATCAGATTCCAGGTACTTATTATCACATGTGGTGGACATGTATGAAAGCAAGAAAATATTGCGGTTACAACATCGCAATTCAGGCACTTGACAATTGGTTTAGAAAGTCATGTGGTTGTAGTTTGTGATTTTTTTTCTTTTTCGCCAAGGTAGAGCTGGTTGTTCATCACTCTGCTTCCCATCTGGACTATCTCAAAGGGTTAACACATACGATGTGTTTTCTTTTTTACTGGCCCATTTTCCATGAAAATTAGAAGATGTCCAATTTATAAGTTGGTACTTATAAGTGAGGTACTAATACCACTCTATAAAAGCCTTAGTGAGACCACACCTAGAATCCTGCATCCAGTTTTGGTCACCGCACTATAAAAAAGATGTTGAGACTCTAGAAAAAGTGCAGAGAAGAGCAACCAGGATGATGAGGGGACTGGAGGCTAAAACATACGATGAACGGTTGCAGGAACTGGGCATGGCTAGTCCAGTGAAGAGAAGGACCAGGGGAGACAGGATAGCAGTCTTCCAATATTTGAGGGGCTGCCACAGAGAGGAGGAAGGGGGTCAAGCTATTCTCCAAAGCACCTGAAGTCCAGACAAGGAATAATGGATGGAAACTGACCAAGGAGAGATTCCACCTGGAAATAAGGAGGAATTTTCAGACAGTGAGAACCATCAACCGACGGAACAGAAGTTGCCTTCGGAAGTTGTGGGAGCTTCATCACTGGAGGCCTTCAAGAAGAGATTGGACTGCCATTTGTCAGAAATGGTGTAGGGTCTCCTGCTTGGGTGGGGGGTTGGACTAGATGACCAATAAGATCCCTTCCAACTCTGTTAATCTGTTAATATCTCAGAAGGCATTTGACCTTGTTTTAACTATTTCCTTTTATTTTCTGCTAGGAGGCTATGGTGAGCTCCTGGATCCAATTCAGCGATGGTGCCGTGACCCCACTGGACATCTATGACCCCAGAGATTTCTCTCTCTCTGCTTCCTCACTTGATGAATCGGTTGTTTCGGCCCATCAGAGCTCTGCTGTCAAATGGCCAGTGGTGGTAGCAGAAGGAGAAGGGGAAGGCCTGTTGGTCAAAGTAGATATGATGATCTCTGAATCTTGCCAGAAATCCAAGCGGAAGAGTATCCTAGCAGTTGGCAATGGAAACATCAAAGTCAAGTTTGGCCAGAACGATGCCAACCCCCATGGTCTTGGAGATTACAGTGCCGAGGAAATTGAAAACCACGCCAGTGACCGGAGGCCGAAGGTGTTTGACCAAGAACACCATGGCCAGGAAGGACAATATTACAGAAGCTCTTCTGCTGAACGAGAAGAAGGCCTTGGAAGGAAGACGGGTGTGACAGCCAAGTCTACAATCAAAAACAAAGCCTTCAAAAGTATCCCTGAAGGAGATAAGCTTTCAGATGAAGGTCTACTCCAGAACATTCCGATTGACTTCACCAACTTCCCAGCTCAGATCGATCTTCCCCAAAGCAATAATGGCATGGAGGACAGCGACCTGGTTGAGACACCTAGAGGTCTCAGTGACTTGGAGACGGGGATGTATGCCCTGTTAGGAGTCTTCTGCCTCGCCATTCTGGTCTTCCTAATCAACTGTGCCACCTTCACATTGAAGTACCGTCACAAGCAGCTTCCCATGGAAGGGCAGACTTCCATGAATCACTCTCATGACTGGGTGTGGCTTGGGAATGAAATGGAGCTGTTGGACAACCCAGCAGATGTCTCGCCTCCACCAGATGAGTGCACCACGATCATAGACCAAGGGATAGGCTTTGACGCGGGCAGTCAACTCCTCGTTGGCACACCAAAAAAACTCCCGAGTCAAAGCAGTCCCAAAATTCAATTGGGGGACAAGCAAATCAGGGACCTGAAGCAGGAACATCCTTTGCATTCGCCCGCCTCCAAGCGGAAACGGGTCAAATTTACCACGTTCACTACCATCCCTCCAGATGACGGTTGTCCCACCGTCAATTCCATCCTCAATTGTAACGAAGACGACATTAAGTGGGTTTGCCAAGATATGGACCTGGGAGAATCGAAACAGATCAGGAACTACTTGGAGAAACTCAAAGACAAAATGTAGCATCACTTCTGGGTTTTAAGAGTTAACAGCCACACCTTGATGCCTTCAGATGCATTGAAATATGTGAATAAAGAAATATATGCATGAACTGGAGTGGGAACTGAGTAGATGATGTATAGGACCAATTTTGATAACCCAGCAGATACGTTCTTTGATAAACCCAGCTAGGTAGCAATGTCTAATCAAGCTGGACTGATTGCAGAAAACAAATCAGAGTTGGACCTGGTTAAGTCTTTGGATAGAAGAACATCATCAAGATGTTCTCGAGCTGTAGGCTCTACTGGGAAATAATAACCCAACCAGAAAGAGCAAATTATTTCCATATTGTTGCCAATGATATTACAAGGATGTTTTCATAAAAGTTCATTCCATGTTTATTATTTGCTAAAGCATATTGGCTAATGTCTGTGGAGATTCTCAGTCATCCAAGTCATGGTTGTCCCAAAGGCGCTTTTTCAAGAGGCAACTGGACTTGCTGGTTTTTCCTTGAAGATGTTTCGCTTCTCATCCAAGAAGCTTCTTCAGCTCTGAAAGAAGCTGAAGAGGTTTCTTGGATGTCGATGATAGGTGATTTCTCCCACGTCCCATCCTCTTCAGGCCAACTGTTTCTAAGGTCAATGGAAGTTCCCAAGCAATAGTTGGTGGATAGGTAGGGCAGGATGTCATTATGAATCAGAAGGTTGGGTTTGGAGAGATCATCAACTGCAAAGTAACCAAAAGTATTCTTTTTTAGAGAAAAATCAACATGGATAGTGGAGATAAAAGACCACACACTTTTTAGATGTCTTGTAAAAGGTTTGAAAAGTCTTGAGATTTAAAGAGATCTTGAGGGAGTTATCATGGTTGATTTACCATTCCTTGAGCTGGAGAGAAATGGGGATGACGTCTTGTACAAGAGAATGAAACTGGGCTCATTTTTGGATTCAGCTGCATTATTTATTTATTTTTGAAGATTCCCATATGGAAATTTGGTTCTCCTTCTCATCCCACTTTCTTTCCCAACACCATTTTTCTACAAGTCATTTGGGGGGCAGGTGAGACTTATTTTACAGGTATTCCAATCCCAAATTTTCCCTTTGGTCCAAAACTAATGTAATCCATTGAAAGGGTCTTGCCATACCTGGAGAAGACAGCTTTGGCAAGGAAATTCTAGACGTGTCCATGAGCTTCTCCCGATTTTAACCAATGACAAAAGCAACACCTCTGCATTGCCATAGACGTTTCATTCCCCCTTGTGTGTGATGTCACAATGCACATAGAAAAGGGGTAGGGAACCACAACATTGCTTTCTTCAGCCTAACTATCAATGGGTAGATAGGACATCCAACTCTGGTTGGTTCAGCCTTGTAGGGAATAAGCACCACTCGACATTGAGCGATGTCTAATCCACATCCATGTCTATCTTTGAAAGTTGGGTTTTTTTAATTTTTCACTACCTTGAAGGTGACCCAATGGCCTGTTTGAGAGGGCAGAGCTGATCTGGAAACCAGAAGGCCTTCCTCTCCTGCCTAGGAGACCAATCATTTTGAAATTATAACAGGTTAACAGAGTTGGAAGGGACCTTGTAGGTCATCTAGTCCAACCCCTCGCCCAAGCAGGAGACCCTACACCATTTCCGACAGATGGCAGTCCAGTCTCTTCTTGAAAGCTTCCAGGGATGAAGCTCCCACAACTTCTGAAGGGAACTTCTGTTCCATTGAATATAGAATAACAGATTTGAAAGGGACCTTGTAGATCATCTAGTCCATCCCCCTGCCCAAGCAGGAGACCCTAACACCATTTCTGACAGATGGCAGTCTAGTCTTTTCTTGAAAGCCTCCAGGGATGAAGCTCCCACAACTTCCGAAGGCAACTTCTGTTCCACTGGTTGATTGTCCTCACTGTCAGAAAATTCCTCCTTATTTCTAGGTTGAATCTCTCCTTGTTCAGTTTCCATCCATGATTCCTTGTCTGGCCTTCGGGTGCCTTGGAAAATAGGTTGACGACCCCCTCCTCTTAGTGGCAAACCCTCCAATATTGGTCCATTCTAAGTGGAGCAGAAATGAGTTCATTCTAAGTGGAGCAAAAACCCCCGGTATTCCAGCTTTTCATTCTGGTTCTCCTTCCCTTGAAACAAAAGTCAGTCCTAGTTCAACAGACCTGGTTGGATGGATTCACACGACCCAATGAACCAGAGCTGGTCAAATCTGTGTGATTGCCATTTCCTTGGTTTAGCTTGGCTGGTGTTAACCTTGATTAGCTGCCTCTGGGTGTAGTCCAGCGTATTAACTCGGCCCAGGGGTTCACAGCTGGCAATGTTGTATGAATTCAGAAAATCGGTTCATTCAGTCACCCAGGTTAAACCTGTTGTGCGAATGAAGCTTCTGAAAGCTTTCCAACCTGCTTGCGAAGTGGGGAACATGCTCTGTCAATCATCGTTAGGGATACTGAAATGCCTCATTGCGCTTTCTCCCACCCAAAACACCTGTCTATTTTTTTACTTCTTTCTTTGGGATGGCCTCCATCCATGGAACTTGACACCTTATAATGTAGACCGACCTTTTTATTACTATTATTATTATTATTATTATTTTAACAAGACTGGCCTGGTATTCACTGTAAACTGAATGAATGTAATTATTTATTTCTACGTGTTCACAGTTGTCATTAAAACGTTTCCATGGCTTGGTTAAAAGTAAATTTGTTTGGAGGAAGGTCCATAAAGGGTAAAAATCAAATCTATGTTCTTCTCCCAAGACGAATGCAGCTCCTAAGGTGGCGCTTAAATGTAAAGGTTCCCCTCGCACGTCTGTGCTAGTCGTTCCCGACTCTAGGGGGCGCTGCTCATCTCCGTTTCAAAGCCGAAGAGCCAGCGCTGTTTGAAGACATCTCCATGGTCATTTGGCCGGCATGACTCAACACCAAAGGTGCACGGAACGCTGTTCCCTTCCCACCAAAGGTGGTCCCTATTTTTCTACTTGCATTTTTTACCTGCTTTCGAACTGCTAGGTTGGCAGAAGCTGGGACAAGTCACGGGAGCTCACCCTGTTACGCGGCACTCGGGATTCGAACCGCTGAACTGTCGACCTTTCGATTGACAAGCTCAGCGTCTTAGCCACTGAGCCACTGTGTCTCTTAAGGTGGCGCTTAAGGCCTTATTAAAAACACTGATGGGGGCCATCGATGATTACAGGCAGTCCCCGACTTACAACAGATTTGTTTAGTGACCGTTTGAAGTTACAAGGGCACTGAAAAATGTGACTGAGGACTGTTGGAAGAAATGTCCATCTGGGTTCAGTTCCAAGTGGGGAGAAAGACACTGGAAACATGGAGACTGCTGGAAAAGATGGTTTAGAAGCCTGACTAGGTGGCTCAGTGGCTAAGACACTGAGCTTGTCGATCAGAAAGTTCGGCAGTTCGGTGGTTCGAGTCCCTAGTACAGGGGGCGTGAGCAGGGGGTTGGACTAAATGACCTCCAATGTACCTTCCAACTCTGTTACTGTTAATGGTGGACAGGACCACATGGTTTTGAGGTCCTGGGCGAAAAAGCAAATGGGAGAGAGAGAGAGAGAATGAATGAGAGAGAGAATGAGAGAGAGGAGAGGGAGATTTATACCCTCTGTTGGACTTTGAATTTGAGCTTGTATTCTGATTGGTTGTCAGACTCCCATGGGGGTTATGCAGGGCTAACTTTGTAGGTTGTCTTTTGAATCCCAGGCTTGGTTGAGCCTTGCTGGGTGGTGCAATCTCCCCAGGTGCCATGTGGGGAGTTCTGTTGCTCGATGGGTAGAGGGCTAATCCTACCTTTGTTGGATCTTGGGTGAGGGCATTTGCTTATGAATAGACCTAGCTATCTCTTTCTCTCTTAAGTGCTGGCATCTGCTGTGGGCTATTGAGGAGGGTGGGGGCTATGAAGAGTGAGCCTGCTTCCTGCCTTAAAAAACATGTTTCTTCATTTCTCATCCAGGGAGGTATACTATTCTGCCTTTTTAAATATTTCCTAGAATATTTCATTCTCCTAGGAGCAATCAATCAATCAATCAATCAGAATAAAGCTGGAAAGGACCTTAGAGGTCTTCTAGTCCAACCCTCTGCTCAAGCAGGAGATCCTATACCGGGGTCTGCAACCTTAAACACTCAAAGAGCCATTTGGACCCCTTTCCCACAGAAAAGAAAACACCAGGAGACACAAAACCCTTCCCGTGCCTGACTATTTCTTGAGCGGCCACAAAACTAGCATATGTAGAATTAAACGTTCTGTTTTCTTCTGAAACTTTTCTTTTCTTGCATTTATCCATGGTTGGCCTACCGGGGGTTGAAATCCTCAATAAATCGTGTGCAGGTGGGTGTCGCACATTGGCGATTGTGGCACATATTTTGAGTGACAGGGAGCCGCAGCAGAGGGGTGAAAGAGCCACATGCGGCTCCGGAGCCGCAGATTGCTGACCCCTGCCCTATACCATTTCAGACAACTGGCTGGTGCTATTCTTCCTCTTGTGTTGTGTCTATGCGCCTTTCCTGTTGCGTCTTGAAATATCGTGCAGTCCATCTTCGATCGATAGAAACATTTCCACGAAAGGAACTAAAATACCCCTATTTCAACCGTCGTTCCGGATGTGAAGGCATTCCTTTTCAGTCAATCTTTGTTTGCGTGTTGGCCAAATACAGGAAGATCCAATCCAGAGTTTTGACTACGTAACCGACTTCAATCTCTGTGCTGCTTTCCTCCTGATGTCCAAGCAAACCACTCCCAACGAGTGAGTCTTTTTTTAAAAAAAACAAAGGGGGGGGGGAATAAACCAGGAGGTAACTGTGATAAACTAGGATAGACCAAGTTCTAAAAGAAAGTTGATTAGTCTCCAACGTAGCCAGAGGAGGGCGCCTAATAACTTCCTAACTGATAACTTGCGAATTTTGCTCTGTTCTTTTGCCTTCTGCAAATCCTTTGTAAAAAGCCACTGCTGTGCTAAAGGCTGCTGTTGTTTTGTGTGTGTGTGAGTGTGTGTGTGTGTGAGAGAGAGAGGGGGGGGAGGTAGGGTTGGTAGGGAAAAAAACAACAACAGCTATGCTTGGAATATTTGGCACTAGGAGGTTTGCCGAGTAAACAGCTTCCCACCGTTAAAATTGGTTCTGTGATTCTATGAGCTCTTTAAAGTGCTACCTATTTTGGGGGGGCGGGAGGAAAAAAAAGCTCCCCTACACACCCACACACACACACACACTTTTTTTTTCTTTTGCTGCATCCAACTGCTTTTGAATAGCTAGGCTGCTGGCTTCAGAAGCTGAGCTTTCCATCAATGCTTTCCCAGCTTTTGAAAGACGTTTGAGATGAGCTGTTGAAATTGTACTGCCTGGTTGAAATGCAAGTATGAAAAGAAAAGAGAAAAGGAAGGGAAGGGAAGCAAAGTGAAGGAAAGGAAAAGAGGGGAGGGGAGGGAAAGAGGGGAGGGAAGGAGGGGAGGGAAGGAAAGGAAGGAAAAAAGGGAAGGGAAGGAAAGGGAAGGAGGGAAAGAAAGGGAAGGAGGGAAGGGAAGGACGGAAAAGGGAAGGGAAGGGAAGGGAAGGGAAGGAAAGGAAAGGAAAGGAAAGGAAAGGAAAGGAAAGGAAAGGAAAGGAAAGGAAAAGAGGGAAGGTAAGGAAAGGAAAGGAAAGGAGGGAAGGGAAGGAAAGAAAAGAGAAGGGAAGGGAAGGAAAAGAAAGGAGGGAAAGGAAGGAAAGGAAAGGAAGGAAGGGGAGGGAAGGGAAGGGAAGGAGAAAAGGGAAGGAAAGGAGGGAAAGAAAGGAAAGGAGGGAAGGGAAGGAGAAAAGGGAAGGGAAGGGAAGGAAAGGAAAGGGAAGGAAAGGAGGGAAGGAAAGGAGAGAAGGAAAGGAAAGGGAAGGGAGGGAAAGGAAGGAGGGGAGGGAAGGAAAGAAAAGGAAAAAAGAAAGGAATGGAAGGAAAGGGGAGGAAAGGAGGGAAAGGAAAGAAAGGAAAAGAAGAAAAATCAGCTTCTGCAAAGAGAGCCTATCTTGCCCTACCTAAATAGAGCCGTTGGGAATACTGTAGCCCTGAATTGCTAGAAGATCGAAACCAACTTCCCCACTTGGGATGGAAGAGGCTATCACCATGGATTCTCCAGAGAGCATTCTACGTCTAACGGTTGCAAGTTCTCCATCTCTGTAGGCTTTGGTGAAGAGGTTGGGCAGCCAGTTCTAGAGGATGGCCACGTTGCTTTTCCTGCAGATGACACAGGCTTGGAGGAGATGTTCCTTGGGGTTCCATCAGCTCCTCGATTTATGGACGCAGCCTATTTAGCCATTGGCAAACGACCATTCGAGGCCGGCCATTGTTTTATTGAACCTCACACTGGCACCAAACAGGAAAAAAAAATATGAACTCCATTTGGACTGCAGTTCCTTTATTACGGAAAATAGATTGAACTTTTGCTCGGCTCAACCAGGAATTAAATATCTGTTGGATGTTTTCCTTTTTATTTCCTAATTAGAGCCTCAACTTTCGGAGAATAAATTTAAACCATTGGCCGTGGTCAGCCTCATAAAGGATCTCATTATGATATAACTGCTCCAAAGCCGTGGCGATGAATTATAATTATTTTTCTTCTTTCTTAATTGGGCGTCTGTCTCTCTTGTTTCCAAATATGGCTGGAAAACAAAATGACTAATTGCAGGAAACTTTTATTTTCTTTTTTTAACAATTGACATGCAGGAAATGAAACTCGGCCCCAAACAAACCTCAGCAAAACTCACATAACGAAAGCATTTTTAGTTTTTTGCCATGGGGGGGGAGGTGGGAGGGGAAGGGCAGATTTTATGTGCAGGGTGCAAGGTAGCCTTTGAAAATATTGGCTTAGGAAAGCTGTACGTGTAACTCTGGGCATCCTTTGGCTGTGTGTGTGTCATAAAAGTCACTTTTGGCAGTTGTGAGTGTGTCATTGAAGCCCCATCAAATGCACCCGGAATTCTAGTCTAGTCTAAGTAAAGGTAATGGTTCCCCTCGCACATACGTGCTAGTCGTTCCCGACTCTAGGGGGCGGTGTTCATCTCTGTTTCAAAGCCGAAGAGCCAGCGCTGTCCGAAGACGTCTCCGTGGTCATGTGGCCGGCATGACTCAACGCCAAAGGCGCATGGAACGCTGTTCCCTTCCCACCAAAGGTGGTCCCTATTTTTCTACTTGCATTTTTTTTACGTGCTTTCTAGGTTGGCAGAAGCTGGGACAAGTCACAGGAGCTCACCCCGTTACACGGCATTAGGGATTCGAACCGCTGAGCTGCCGACCTTTCGATCGACAAGCTCAGCGTCTTAGCCATTGAGCCACCATGTCCCCTTTAGTCTAGTCTAGTCTAGTTTAGAGTCTATTCTTCTCTGCTTCTCCTTCTCCCTTTCTTCTTGTCCTCCCTCTCCCTCTCCTTCTCTCCTCTCCTCCTCTCCCCTTCTCCTTTCTCCTCCTCCCCTCCCCCTCTCCTCTCCTTCTCTCTTTCTCCTATTCCTGTGATGGCAAACCTATGGCACATGTGCCGGAAGTGGCACGCAGAGCCATCTCTCCGGGCACGCGAGGCATTGCCTGTTGCTTTTCCGGGTTCCGGCACACCAGCTTAGCTGGTTTTCAGGTGTGCGGGAGCACCGGAAACTGGAAGATCATCTTCCCCGCACACACATGTACACCAGGCTGCTGCTTTTCCGGTTTCCGGCACGCGTATGCT